ATTCTATGAAACAAATGCACTACTTTTAATGATAAAAAATAGAGAAGGACCACAGCAGCATATCAAAAGTATCCATAATGGAAATTCATTCCAACCATAAACAATTTTCGTTTGAAAGATTTCAAAATTCCTCATTTTCAATCTTGCAAAACTATAGACAAAACTATTTGCAATGATCATACAAATACGATTTTTTCTTTAGATTTTTGAACAGATTGGACTAAATCTGTTGTACAATGCACAAAATAAAAAACAGGCCGCCCAGGATAGATCTAATAATCAGATTTTCATGATTTAGAACTCAAACTTAACGGTTCCAGGGGTTGACTTCAAATATGCTAATTAATTAGAATATACGATATTTTAAGTTTCAAAATCAGACACAGAAACGTACTTTCTCTGAATGAACATAACTTTTTTCCGATGGATTCGGATTTCTGACCCCTAAAATTTATTTTTATTTTAAAACCATCGTTGAACAGCTGACCCAATTTTTCGGGTTTACGACTACCAATGTTCAATTCCATAGCCTTGTAATTTTGAACCCAATTTCAGAAGACAAGGAAGCTCCTGGACCAAGTATTGGGGGAAATTTGCTTTCGTGGAGGATTTTTTGATGAAATTAACTCGCATTTGCCTTACATGGGTAGGAAAACCTCCCACGGTTAGCCTGACGTCAAGGGGATTCTAACCCATGATCCGTCTACTACTGAGGATATTTTACGTCAGCATTGTGGTCGGTGCAAGGCGGATTCCGAATTCTCATCTACTAGTCATCACTGGGATTCTAACCCGGTTCACCTCATTGAAAGATGAACGCTCTATTTGGGGGTGGCCGCAATCTGGGAAATATGGTCCCCGTAGCTTGATCAAGAGATTGATTCAAAGTTAATTCTACTTTTTGCGCATTTCACCCTATCTCGAGATATCTTTAAGCTAATTTAAAACTTTTTGCACACAATTATAAAATTCATTTATCCAAAGATAATTCCATGGAAAAAAAAATAATTTTTAATAAATATTTATTATTTTTGTTATTTTATTTAAAAATAGTCTAAATTTTTTTGATTATAAGGTATACAAATTTTTAAATAATTTTAAAGAATATAATTTAGCATGGCAAAATACAAAATTTGAGTAAAATCGGTTGGATAGTTCTTGAGAAATCGAATTTCAAAAAAGTCGTGTTTCAAAAATTTGATTTCTCAGGAACTATTTGACCGATTTCCCTCAAACTTTATATTTTGCCATGTAAAATTATTTTCTTTAAAATGATATAAAAATTGCATGCATTGCTATTAAAAAATTTTTAAGCTAATAATAAATAAAATAATAAAAATTAATAAATATTCATTAAAAAAATTTTTTTGCATGGAATTATCCTTGGATAAATGAATTTTATAAATTTGTGCAAACATTTTTCAATTCTTTTACAAATTTCTCGAGGCACGGCGAAATGCGGAAAAAGTAAAATTAACACAAAGGGATCCAAACTATTGGGACCATATTTCCCGAATTGGTGCTACATCCTATAATTTTGGGACCAACAATCCAAATACGCTGGAAAAAAGTATGTTTATTCAGAGAAAATACGTTTTTGTGCCTGATTTTCTTAACTTTAAATATCGTCTACACTTATTAATTATTATATTTAAGGTTACCTCTTTCATTCATTAAGAATGAGTCCTAGAACGCGAAGATCCGATCATTAGATAAAAAATTGTTAAGGGTGGTCCGTTTTTAATTTTGCGCACTGTACATCATTGAAATTAAGATCTAGCTTAGATATTATAAATCACTGTTTGTAATTTAAATTAATTTGAATAAATTCATTTTTTTTTGTTTTATATTTATTTTTTCTGTTATGTGCTATCGATAAACCTTAAAAAATACTCGGATACATCTTAGCATTAAGAAAGTATTTTATTCTATATCATAAAATGATTTTTTTACATTAAAGTTTCAGTGCAACCATTTTAAATTCAGTTTATTGCAACCAGTATCTTACAAAATTTTAATTTTGAGCTTTTAATTGTCTTTTTACTAATCTTGTTTTGATTTTGTTTAAATTATTTTATTTTTGATGTCATACCATGCATTTTTTTTTTCTTTTTCTGCTCAATTTTCAGAAAAATAGACTCTTAGTAAATGATTTATTTATATTCTCCTCAATAACAAAATCGGGAAAATTCATGAAAATTTTGCATGGCCTTAATAAATTTCCAAATTCAATCTAAGGTTCTATTACAAGTAAATATAATTTCCATTTACATTACAAACGACTACAACTAATAATCGTTATATCCATAGCATCAGCGAATAATATGTTTATAACAAAGCTTTGTAACAGTCCTACATACAGTTTGAAATGCTAATGAATGAAACTGCACCAATGCTTGGTTATCTTGCTTGCAAATATTTCTGATTGCTGCTGTTCTAAACAACAAGCAATAAAACTTGATTGTCTTATTTATTTCACTTATTATTAAGCCACAAAATTTAATGATGACTTTTTTGTTCTGTGTGTATTATTCAAAATGTATATATTGTAGTATAATATGTATTTTTATGTACATATTTTTATTCATAGGTATTGTATATTCTACATGCCTTGTTATTTTAAAAACTACTGTTAAGCAGGGCGAAAAAAATTTTTAACTTTTATCTTAATCTTGGCCAAATGTCTCTTGGGGGTGGAAGTTGCCTTCCTCCCTTACTCAAAGGTAGAAATTGACTTGAGTTTCAAAGGCAATATTGCAAAAAGTAATAAAGATAAAAAAAAAAATTGACCTACATTTTCGTGGATAGGAAAGATTGAAAAAATTATTAGTATTTTTTTTTGAATGGATCACTCCGATTCTTAAACAAGAAAATTCGATTCAAAGTATGACAAGCCCGCCATAGACTTGACATGTTAAAAGCAGAATTGAGGAGTCTGCTTGGTTCAACACTTTTCTCTCGACAACCACGATTGGGGACCCGACTTTCTGATCATTTGAGCTCGCCCCGTGCTCTTTGTTCGCCAAGATCTTAATATACCGGGGTTTTTTTCACACTAAAATTCATATTCAGGGTTTGTCTTTTTAATCCACGGTAAGATTATTAATTGGTGCTGGCTATTATTTGAAATATTAAGTCAAAGACATAACAGTGTCTCCATACCAACTCACATAAATGTGTGCCAGTTTGTGCATTTTCCGTTTATGCGGTACTTTAAATTTAAATGCTAAAACAGATGCATTTTATTTCAGTCTAAGAGCGGCTTAGAAAATCCGACCAAATTCCGAGTTTACAACCGTCAATAGTCAACTCCATAGTTTAGTTATTTTAAAAACAACGCAGAATACAAGGGAACTCTTGGATTTAATAATGAGACAAACTAGCATTTGTAGAGGACCTTTTAATGGAATTAACTCGAATTGGAGTTACATGGAGAGGAAAAAACAGTAAAAACTTCCCACGGTTAACCCAACAGCAAGAGGAAAATATATTCATTAAAACATTTAATCCATTTATTCAAAAAAGCAAAATGAGGAATAGAAATGAAAAATAAGTTCTGCGTGCAACTTATTCACAGCAAAATATAAATATAACTTGTATTAATTCCAACATATTCTAAAAATTTTTAATTTGTTTATAGGTAAAATCAATTTTGTAACACATTTTTTAATATCTTGTATAATGCATTTCAAGTTCTATATAAAATTAGGTTGCTTCGATTAAAGAAGCATGTATCAGCATGTTAATAGGTATCTGTTTTTGCAACAAAAAAAAAAGGCGTATAAACTTAGTTGCTATTTTGCGTTTCAGAAAAAAGCAGAAAAGTTTTGCGAAAGGTTAGCATAGGGATTAAATTTTTTTTCCATTATTATATCTTTACCATTTTACTAATTTAGTTAAAAAGTCAAGCTTCATTTTGCAATTTTGGTACTATTAACAATTTATTTGTCATTGGCGAGATAATTGAAATGTATATATTTTTGGAAAAATATTCTTTTGAAAATATATTAGAAAATTTTTACCATATTTCGATGAGATTTTCATGTCTTTAATACAAATTATCGCAATTTTTTCTCAACAGGTTAAATACACCAAAATCAAGTTGTGTTAAATTTCATAACAATTTAAGGACCCACCCATATTTTTTTGGGATGTATATAATTTATTTTAAAATTGATTACTGACGAATAACGTATTGCTCATTCTGTAATAAATTTTATTGCGGACAACTTTCTCCATAAAAATCATATCTTGAATAAGTAGGTCACGATGAATTCTTTTTGGTTTTGAAAAGCATTGAGATTTATGCAGTTATTAGTGTTTAAATAATAAACCTGGATGCCATAGACCATGGGTTTTTGATATGAGTGCAATATTTCCCACGATTTTTCAATTTCATCTGAAATATCGAAAACAGTTCAATAAATCCTTATTTAAGAAATTATCATAAAACAGGGCTTATCAATGAAATACGTTTATATAGTCGCATATTAATCTAATAAAAATAAGTACTTGGGAGCAGTTAATGAGTGTACTATAATCACAAGACAAAATACTTAACCAACATAACTGTGTCATTAATTTATGAAATATTATATAGATGAAATATTGTTAGACATTTCTGGAATTTTATCTGAGCTCGACGGTTCATTTAAATTTAAATTTTTGTCAGAGTAATTAATTAATTTTATTACTTTTTTTACAGCAATGTGTGTTAATATTAAAAGCTTAAATAAATATAAAACTTCATTATTTTTATTATCAACTTTCGTCAATAAATAATTATTTTTAAGGACTTCAGCAGCTACTCTTAAATTTAATCTTTTTTACTCGTCAATAGGGAATATATCATTTAAAGTTTTCATACGTCATTTTGATTGAAGTAAAAGAGTCCTCTCAATAAAATCAATCCTTAACATAGCAATTTAAGTAAACATCTTAACAGTTACTTAAGTAAACGATGGTAAAATGTTTTAATGTGATGTCTTGTCATATTTCAGAATTGATTCAAGCTATACATCATTACTATGGTCTTTATTTGGTGTCATACCTATCAAAGAAATCAGTAGTCGTAGAGACCAAGCATTCACTAAGTGGGTAGGCCATGCATTGCTCGGTGCTTATATGATAATGGCAATGACCGTCATGATTAACATGCTTATTGCTATGATGTCCAGATCATTCCAAGATATAGAAGTAAGTTATAAATTATTTCAGTTATGACTAAAAAACATTCTAAACCCAATCAGACCTCATTCGTCTAAATAAGTGAAATATTAATACATTGCAATTCTAACGCTTGCTTCTGAGAATTTTCCCTGAAATAATTATTTTAAATGCATATGTTTAGCTTGGTTATTCATAAACGATTAATTAAGGTTCGTTTGGGTTTAGAGTAAGTATTCATCTAGCTGTACTTCAGGATATTTTCAGTTAAGAATTTGAGGGGTTTCGTGTTTAATATTTGGTTGGCAACCAAAATACCGCCATTTTTAATAAATTAAGCGTGGGAGGATTCCATTTTCTAAGCCATTTTCTTCGTCGTTTGCAATTTTTGTGAAAAAGTAGGTTTAATCACTCTTCATAAATCTCAACTGGATGGTCAGAAAAAGGAGCATTTTTAAGGTTTAAGTGTCCATTTTTTAACTTGGTTTACTAATCCCGAATGAAAATGAAGAACGATCCAAAATTTTCATCCTTTTATGTTAATTTTACCTTTTGCGTATTTCGCTGTAACTAAAGAAATTTTATGCGAAGTGAAAAATTTTTGCACACAATTATAAAATTCATTTTTTCAAAGATAATTCCGTGCAATAATAACTTTTAGTTAATATTTATCATTTTTTTATTATTTTATTTAATAATAGTCGAAAACATTTTGATTAATAAGGTCTACAATTTGTGTCATCATTTTAAGGAATGCAATGTTACATGGCAAAATACAAAATTTGACTGAAATCGGTCGGTTTTAGAGAAAACGAATTTTAAAAATGTCGTATATTTAAAATTTGATTTCTCATTAACTATTTGACTCTCAAAATTGTATAAAATTTTGCTATTGTCTAATGACAGAATTTTATCACACTAGAATTGAATCTTATATGGTTTAAAGGCCCTAACCTTAAATGTTCCACTTAATTATAGCAGACGATATTTTAAGTTACGAGGTCAGATAAAATAACATACTTTCTTTGATTAAACAAAACATACATTTTTTTTCAACAAATTTAGATCCTCGACTTTCAAATGAGTAAGGGACAGCCACAATCTACAAAATGTTTCCCAAATAGCTTAGAGTGGAAGATTGTAGAAAGTTTAGGCCCGGTTATGTTAAATTCACTTTTCGTACATTTCACTATCCTGACGAAGTCCGTTTTTCTTTAATTTTTATTTCTCACAAACTACTCAAACGATTCTCTTCAAATTTTGAATTTTTTCTCTTAAAAATACGTAGATTAAATTGGTGAAAAAATTTGCATTTATTCTAATTCAAATATGTTCTTTTGATATGAAATCAAATAATAAAAAATCAGAAATAGAAATAAAAAAAATTTAAATGTAATCTCTTTAGATGAACAAAATTTATAATTATATGCAAAATTCTTTTGATTCCCTCATAAGTTCCGGAGATATGAAGAAATATACAGGAAGTAAAATTAGCATTAAAAAGTCTTGAGAGGTTTTAACCCTTCTTTTGACTAGACTATGGGGATCATATTTTCCGGATTGCGGTTCCCCATCATATTTTGAGATCGAAAATCCATATCCGGCAAAAAAATAAATTATATTTATTCAGACTTTGCTACAACTTTGTGCCTGATGTCATAATTTAAATAATTGCTTCTCTACTTATTTAGCATATTTAACATTCAGTCCATTGACCAATAGAATAGGGTCCCAGTACGTGAAAATTCACTCATTAGAACAAAAGTTATTAATGAGTGTTTGCTTTTCTATACTTTTTTTGTGCACTTTACTATTTAGCTTTAAACATTTCAAAGATAATTAAAAAAGATCTACGCAATTGTTTTTGATGGTAATACTTAAGGAATTTTAAATAGTACAACAAGGCTTAGATACTTTATCAATTATCAACAAAATTTAAAAAATTAAAATTATTCAATCAACCTTGTACTCCTTAGAAGAAAGTGGAGTAAAATTGGGTATATGAAGGCCTGTTGGAGATAAACTCTTTGAGTTAGAAACAATCGCATTAAATCGAGACATTCAATGTTTAGTTATGCATAATATATCATTCTTGAACAATCCTATTTGGACATCATTTTTGTAAATGAGTTTTAAACTCAAACCCCATATGTTTACTCAATGAAAATTTAGAAATATTGAAATTTCAGTTAAAAAGTAGTAGACAGTAAATTTTGAAAAGCAACAGAATAGTGCTATTATTGGACTAAATACTTATTGTTTGTTAAGGTATGAATTTTCAGTAAACGTGTATAATAATCTGATCTGGACAAAAATAATTTTTTTAATTGTAATGACCAATTAATAGGATTAGTTTAAAAATGAAAGAACATTTGAGAATTGACATCAGTTTAGTAAAGTTTGATCGGTAAAACAAAACCTCTACAGACGCACAATACGGTATGTGCCTCTTCTTGACTTGTTACGTGTAATTAAGAGTTAGTTTGTTAGAGTACAAAAGTAATTTTGACACAATCGAGGTACAACGTTTTTTTACCCAGTCTTAACCAACTCTCTACTATACATTATTTTTACTATCAGAAATGATCTCAACCTCCAACTGACCAATCCGTAAAATTTTGCAATACCTTTTTTCTAAATTTTTATATTTATAGCTCTCTATATATATTCTAATATTATAGGATCATGCAGACAGAGAATGGAAATTTGCGAGATCAAAGCTTTGGATGAGTTATTTCGACGAAGGTTCAACTCTTCCTCCTCCATTTAATCTCATCATTTCTCCAAAATCTATATACTATTTTTGTAGAGGAGTCAAAAATCTTATATTCAAATTATTTCAAAGTAGTTTCAGACTCTGTGGTGTTAAATCCGTAGACGTCATAAAGGTAATAATGTATTTTCTATTTATTTTATATTGTATTTTTAAAGAACCATATAACAACTGTGCTAATAAGTTTGTTATTGATTAAAAATGAAAAATAGCTCATGTTAATTCCCTCGCTAATATTCTATAACCCATTATTATATATTTATTATTTAATTTAATAAATTGAAATAAATGTTTAATAAATTAAAAAATAATTATGGGTAATATATTAACATTTATGAATAATATATTAAAAAATAATTATTAAATTTTAAAAGATTTTGATTCCAACAGTATTACTTTTTTTTAAACAGGATTATCCTAATTATGTTGCAAATGTTTATTCATAAAATATTCTTTGAAACATTTTAGTGTAAATATATGCTTAAATGCTTTTTTTATATGAGAAAAAATCTCGCACTTCTTCGTTTTTAAAATTCTTCGAGGCAAAACATTATATTTTAATTTTTGTCAGTTCCTTTAAATGTTATTTTCTTATTCACGAAAAAAGTATACAAACATTACTTAAAATAATTGAATAATGTTACTGCACTTAAGTAATTGAAGCTATTTAGATAATGAGAAAAATATTCAAAAACAAACAACTACATATTAACTATAAAGACGTCAGAATGTTTTGCTTAAAAGTAAGTATCACTCTGCTATTTAAAATGTTTTCTATAGAATTATGAAAAGCAAGATGCATGAAAGTATTGAAAATGATGAAGTTACTATTACAGTAAAATTTGCTTTTTTTCACTGCTGCTGCTTGAATACTGTAAACAAATTTATAATTTTAGTAATAAAAATAATTTTAATAGTTTTACGCAATATTTGAATAAAAAAGTTTGTTTTTATTCCATTTTTATACCATTGCTGTACACCGTAGTTTTACTAATATTTCTGCTAAATAACAAAACTATTTTTTCCGTAGCATGAAGATAAGTCTGTTAGTTATATAGGTGACTCAATTACGGATAAAGTAAGTATAATGTTTTAAACATTTTTATACATTTTTTGAATTGTAACGCTTATATCCTCTTAAGTCATTTCATCCATCCTAATAGATGTTTTTCTGTAAATTTAAGAAAAAACAACGTTGATAGTCTTTTGTATGTAGTCAAGCCGCGTATCTTTGTAAAACTGCAATAATCACTGCAAAACTGCAATTATTGCAATAAAACTGCATAATAAAGCTGCAATTGTATAGATAAAAAACATCATCATGGTGAAACTGCAATTTATTTTACATTTTAAAAATCGCAGCTTCGAAGAAAAAAACTAACGGAATCATAGGTTTCAGGAGGATATTTGTGTAAATAAAGGGAAAAATACTCTAATTAAGTTTCTCTTTTAAATTTCAGATTGATCCTACTTCATGTATAAGTCCACCTCTTGAAATAAATAACTTAAAAAGTAAAGTTAACTACCAGGTAATGTATTTCTATTTATATTGACCAAATTTTAAAGGTATTGAAAAAATTTTCTCAGAGCATATTTTCAAAACATATAGCACTGAAATCTAATATCTTATATCTGTGAATCACAAAATTTAATGAAGACAATAAAGATTGATAATACGAACAATAAATTACAAGTTCAATGTTTCGTTAAACAAATAGATCTGCTAATTTAAAAGTATATAAAACACTTAACTTCGTATTTATAAAAATAAATGTCATTAAATTAATTTTCATAGTTAAGTAAGGATTAAAAAATGTTTTGATTTTAGTGCAAGAATAGACATGCCACTTCCTGTTGATCAAGTGATTTACTCAAAATATTTCGCTAATTTATTGATTCCAACTGCAAATAGATTCATAAATGAGAACTATACATACTTAAAACCTCTTTCCTCACTAAAATGCATTGTCAACTAAAGTAATTTTCATGATCAAGTAATAACTAAATGAGTTAATTTTAATACCGTATTGGCACACAGACCCACCCAAATTGTTACGCTAATTTCACTCGGTCAAAAAATCAAGTTAACAAAAAAAAATTTCCCTAGCATAATAAAAATAGTTTTTAATAATTGTTTTCATAGTTTTTACTATTTAATTTTTTAATTATTAACTGGAAAGATATAATTGGACTCCAATCAAACCATGGAAATAGAATCTTAAAAGGTTGAAATACAACCACGAAGTTAAAAGTTAATCAGTGTGTTATTTTTCTCTTTTTGTTAGTCATAGTTCATTTCTAATGCAGCAATTAACTCTGATATTAATGATAAATCAAAATTATTTATATTATTTCTTAGAAATACTTATTAATTTTTGGTGAATGAACAGTAGCTTTAATTGCAATTAAAAGGATAATTAATTTAAAGCTATTGTTGAGTAAGTATTGTTGAGTAAAGTTATTGCTGAGTATTGTTGATTTAACAAACCATAGTAACAACAATATTTGCTTTTTACTCGTTAATTTAATTCTAGCAAAGGTGCCAAATAAACAAGCGTTTGTTTTATTAAATATCTGCGTAGATATTAAATAAAATCTAATCTAAAATGTAGTTTAAATCTAATCAAATGCATGGAAAATGTATAAAGAAAAGAAGAACAAGTACGTAACTTAGAACACTTACACAGAATATGCACAGAATACTAGATTAAAACTAGATAAATATTGAATAATAAACTATATAATAACCTTACGATGAATTGAATTAGCTAGGTATTAAACAGCTGGTGGACATTTAGCAAATTTATTTCCTGAATTTAAATGTTACAATTCGAATTATAAACTTTTTGAACAAAAATAGAATAAAACACTTATTATAGTTGTTGCCATCATACTTAGTTAAAAAGATACAAGTATTATTTAATTAGAATGCAAACGTCAGTTAGATAGTATTAATTGTACTTGAAACTTAAAATATTTTATGATAATTTCAAAAGTAAACCAATATAAAATAATTAAAAAATGCATTAAAATGCCTCGTAATATAAAATGAAGCGCAAAATTTTTTTTCATTAAAAGAATCACGTCATAAAATCGTTTGCTGATTATGTAGAGAGTTTTTAAAAAAATCATCTGCATACATTCAATACGATTTTGCTTGTTTGAATTTGATGAAGCAGTACTCTAGATGAAATCTGTTGTTAAGGTTTGATTGTTTTTATTCTTAAAAACTAATAATGATTGCTTATTCATTTCTATGTATATAATAGCTCATATATGTATAGTAGCGTGTTTACATAATTACAATTCTAGTCATTTTAGCGTAATTGAAATGCTTTTTTAAACAATCATTATCAATAAAATAACTTTTTTGGTTGCTAAATACTGTTAAAGTTTCCTTTTCAATGTTAAAATTAAAAATTTCTTTTTCAATTGATATCTTTTTAGTCACAAAATTTTCTATCATTATATAAATATTTAACACGAAATAAATGGGGAAAAAATGATTTGTATAATGATTTTTTTTCAAATTATGTTAAATTTATAAATTATTTTAAATTATTTTTACATTTTTTAAATTATCTTTTAAGTTTTATAGTATTCATTGGATGTACATTATGCAAAAAGGAAAAAAAAGACCAAGCACACGGAATTACTTTCAATTTAATGATTGTATTTTCACTTAATAATACACAATCTTCATGGATAACGAGTATTAAATTCAATTATGCCAATTAATTTGCGCAGACAATATTCTAAGTTACGAAATCAGACACAAAAACGTACGTTTTCTGAATAAACATACTTTTTTAAAACGAATTTGGATTATTCTTAATACGGAAATTAACTTTTAATTAATATTTATTACTTTTTATTATTTCATTTAGGTCGTATTATTTCATTTGGTCGAATAGTTCTTGTCAAATTGAATTTAAACTATACGATTTTTTTTTTTTAAATTTGATTTTCCTTAGGAACTTCTCGACCGATTTCATGGAAATTTATCAATACGATCGTATGCGCACCTGAGAATATTTTCTCATTTTTATAAGTAATATGTAGATATTAAAATTTTCAAGAATGAATAAGATAAGCTTTCGCTAACTTTAAAAAGTGGGAACACAAAACAACGTACTTCTTATTATTTATTTATGTATGTAGCTAATGCAATTAAACTATTCAAAATTAAAAAAGAAAATCTTACGCAATGACTATGATTTATTCAAAAGAAAAAAGCATCAGCGAGCTCATTACATTGAGCTCATTGCATTTTCCGCCAAGTACTCCCTCTTAGTGATCATTACATTTTCCCCCAAGAACAAAATCCATATTTACTAAAGTCATACATCATTTGACAGAACGGCACTCACCGCGAAACTATATACGATACGACAAGGGAAACCTGTAAAATTGCCTCAAGGAAGCATGAGTTACGTTGAAAGCAATCATGGCAATGACTACACGCCACGAACAGAGTCCATTTCTTTCACTGTTGCTGTCATAGAGAGCGTGGACATCAATGATGAAAGTTTGATGATGATGAAGAGGAGAATGGTTATGATGATGATGTCACGATCAGCTCTTTAGGACACAGTGATTTCTGTTTAAAGAAGAAATCTAAGATATAGTCCGGATATCTAATGAACTCCTTCTGCCACAGAATCTGAAGATCTTTGCTGCTATAGAAACAAGAAAGAGGACATTTAAGTGTGGAAAACATTAGATACCACATTCGCTAACCCCTCTCCAAACTTGTCCCAAATGCTATCTCCCACTTCAACTTTAAAAAGTTCAGCCACGTAAATATAGTCTCCGATAGTGCTCCAGACGACTAGAGAGGGGAGTTCATTAGGTAGACAGACTATAGTGAGATCAATTGTCGTGGTGAGCAATAATGATCCATTCTAATTCAACTACAGATGATTGGGCGAGTTTAGAAGTGTAAGTGAAGAATAACCAGCAGCAGTGGATACTGTGCAAATGTGACAAATCTATCGGATTTGATCATAACGAATGAAACTCGGAATTCACCTTGCTTGACAAGATAAAGGACATGTCAGAGACCAACATGTATAATATTTTTGGAATTGCGTGCAATAAGACATGTAATAATCGAAACCAAACCTGACTTTTCTTGAGATTTATTTCCAATGAAAACTGCAAAACTGATTTTAAAAAAAGTTTAAATAGCTAAGAAAACTCGTATTTTCTGATAAAAACTTGCTTTTTTAAAAATAAATAAATTGCATTCCGACATGTAACAGCATTTGGATGATCATTTCAATTACCAAAATGCTGAGGAAATTTTACAATAATTTTGTATAGCTATTCATTGATATCATGTATTGCTGTAAAGTAACAAACGTTTAAGTATGACACCCAATATTTTTCAAACTTCAAATGTACTTTTATAAAATCTATTCTTGACTGTTTAGTTGTTAACTTGTTTGTGAGCTTTTATATTAATGATAACTGTGAATGTACTTCATAATTAGATATTGCAAAGCTTCAAATATAAACTTAACTCGTTATCATTTATGTGCCAAAGCATGCATTTAATTTAGTAATATGTTTTTAACAATCAAGTCCGCTTTTGTTGGTTCATAATAGCACTTTTATAAGGTCGAAACTAGTTGGTGCATTCTTAAGTTGATGATAACATCGGCAAACATTTTTTTTCCTGTAGCACGTGATTTTTGAACAGGTCTTACATGCTACAGTTTTCATGCAATTTAATAATATATTCCTAACCAGGATTTTTTAAAAGTTAACCGGGTAAATATTAATTTTTTTGTGTGAAATGTTATTAAATATACCAATATTTCATAAGATTGAGAACGTATCGCAAAACTACTTTTACGGCAATATATTCATCAAGCAAAACACAACATACAAAGCACAGATAATAATAGTTAAAAGAGAAATGAGATGATTCAAATAATGTAATTAAAAAGTCATTAATGTTCTACGTCATTATACTATGTAGCGCAAGAATTCCCCTGTTTCATTTAAATATGTCGTCCTTGTAAAATAATCTAGATAAAAATTTTGAATAAAATATGAAATCTTCATTTTCAAAAAACTTTGTTAAAGAAGCACTAATATTTTCCATTTTTATAGGAAGTTATGAAGAGATTGGTAAGTAGATATATACATCAAGCAAAAAAGCAACTTAGACAAGATGGAGTAAATGAAGACGATCTGTTGGAAATAAAACAAGATATTTCTAGCTTGAGGTGAAGTTTTAAAATGATTATTTTTAAGTAATGAATCATTAAATATTGGAGACTGATCGTTAAATTGCAAAATATGTAAACAGAAGCATATAAAGTTGTGTCTAATATGATTATCTTAAAATAGTCTGAAAATCATTACGTAAATGTAATGTTTTAGTATTGTTAATCTTTTTAACGCGTATAAAATATAATCTTTATAACATGTCTAAAATAGTTAGCGAAAATAATCATTAATACACTCAGTTAGGTGATTGAAAATTTTACATTTGATTAAAACATATGATAGATAATAGCATGTTAAGATTACAATATCCATATTACAAAGCATGACACTTATATCATTAACCCCTTCTCTGTCAGATTTTTTATTTTTGAATTTCTGACCCAAAAAAAGCATTTTTTTATTGATGAAAACTAATATATGTTTTATCCTAAATTCGAAAATATAAAATATATTTGTCAGCAAGCAGTTTTTGTTTGTCCTATTGGTGGTGAAATATGTGTTATCCTTTCCGCTGATCTCCAGTTTTCCCTGCAATGCACACAAGTTTTATCTTTAAGAAAAACATTGTGATAACATATTTATTAACTCTATTGCTTTAAGGTGCTTAAGATAAAGATCTAAGATAAGGTGCTTAAGATAAACTATTTTGACATACAACAATCACACTAATGAAAGCGGAAATACAGAAAGTGCGAAAGGATTTTGATTTCAATTAATAGTGGGAAATCTCACTGCGAAAATTGCGAAGAAAGTGGGACTAGTTGCGTCATCTCTTAGCAATATTCAGATATACAAAAGAAATGTGTAAATAGAGATGAATTCAATTTTAATTATGCAATTTTCTTCTTTGTGCTGTAGTATGTGACGCTAATCATACGGGTACAAAAGCGCCGAACGTATGAGATGCAACGCCGATAGAGAAAGGTTTAAATTGTATGTTTACAAAAATAATTTATGCAAACCATAATGGAAAGCATGAAAAATTCTAAGACTTTTAAGTGCTTAAAATTGCTGTTTTCTCCCATAAATTTTACAGAAATAAGGGAAATAAAGTATGCACGTCTGTAATAACAGTCGATATACGCTAATTTGATACCTCTTTTATTAAGAAAAAAAGTTTACGGTTGTTTTAATGATTGACTAACGCATTCAATATAGTATTCTTATTTTAATTCCAGTTAGCAAAGGTCAGTTGAGTACTAATTTCTATACTACATAAGTATTTGTGGAAAGATCTGGATACTATTTTCACGATTCGAATGCTGGTTTGCAATTAGAAAAAAATATTGCTTCAATATTTTTTAAATTGAGTAATTAGAGGGTTAAGAATATTCATATAAAACAAATGAATTGTCTCATATTTAAAAAATCAAAGGCAAAGGAAACTTTATTGATGCTTATTTTCTATTGAAGAAACAAATATTTATTTGTAGTTTCTAACTTGTGTTAGATATAAATATCTGAAAGTCTCACTCAAATTATTATAACAAAATTTTTGAAGCACTACAAAGCTGCGAACAATTCTCTTAGGATTTTTCGCATTGTTGGAGTTTCCAAAAAAGTATTTTAGAGAAGCTAATTACTTTGTCATTCACCTTCTTGTCAGTTCACGGTGAAACTTAAAATGATTAGTCATGGTTTTTGGAAATGAGAGTTTGTGTCAGTATTCAAAAGCAAACATCAATGTTTTTAGCACGTTTATATGCTTTATTACAAACAAACAAATATATTTTGCCTACTTTCATTGAAACTCCTCAATTGCAATATAAAATATAATACTCATTAATCTAAGCTTGTAAGTACAAATGCTACTTGCTACAAATGAATACTAAGAGAATAGTTGTTTCTCTTAGATCTAAATAACAGCAAATTTGAAAAATTACTGTTTGGAAGTGGTCCTGTTTGGAAGATTTTATTCCTAACGCATTAAAAGACACCAGTGTTTCATGTTGAATTTCACAATCATATATTATTAAAATGCTAAATATAATATTTCCCCCTCATTTTGACCTAAATTAATACAAAATAATGAAAAAAGTATGAAAAATGTGTTTAGTAAAAAGACACCGGTGTTTCATGTTGTATTTCACAATCATATATTATTAAAATGCTAAATATAATATTTCCCCCTCATTTTGACCTAAATTAATACAAAATAATGAAAAAAGTACGAAAAATGTGTTTAGTAAAAATTCCTTGTCAAAGGTATTTGCTAAAGAGCTTTATTGGTTTCATTACCCAGTTATGATTCGAAGCTAAATCAATAAAACAAAATAGTAATGAATACAAATAAAAACGAATTCATTCAACATTAATATTGAATAGCTTAGCAGAGAAGTATTATTTATGCATATTTTTTATTATCTTATTATATTGTGCTCAAACTGACCTCGTTTTACCTTGAATTGATTTCCTTTAATTACCAGTCACTTCTTTTCTTTGCATTTTTGTGGTAGCTTTAGTAAGAAAACTTTCATTTAGATGTAACAATTTACGAATTTTGAATAGCAATTATTTATCTAAACAGGTATGAACTTCGAGAAGATCGTAAGCGAGAAAGCGCCAGAAACACAGGGCATATTGATAGTATTAAACGAGATATAATTCGCTCCCTTAGTGGAAGCCAGATGCTTGGACCCATGACTCCATCTTCGACTTCACCACCACCAATTGATCATAGAATGGCTGTCCGCAGTGTTGACGATGTTACAGACGAACGTGAAACAAGAGACAGATTAATTCTGCCACCATTGACGTTATCAAACCAAGATATAGATCTAATACGAAAAGAAGTAGTTGTTGGTGTTCAAAATGAACTAAAAGCTCTTCTAAAAGAACTGCAAGCTCAGAATGCTGCTGCAAATCAGATACACCAACCAACTCATGTTCCTCCTCACCCACAGCAGGGTATGAGATTGCACCCAAATCTACCACCTGCTGTTCCAGACCTTGCGTCCGACTTGTATCAGACTCATCTTTTTACCCAACTCTAGATACCTGACCATTTTGCCCCACCGTACCTCCCTCAATAAAGAAGAACGTCATTGCATTTATATTTATTTTCGTCATTCATACCCCCATATAATGGTGTATATTGGAAATTTCGTTAAAAACCAGATTTGTTGAAACAATTATCATTAAAAATTTGATTCAGTTGATTAAAATCATTCTAAAGTTCCATTATAAGTTAACTTACAAAACTTTTTTATTTTAATACCAGAATTGGTTAAAAGATCAGAAGTACGTATATTTTCAATACTTTATTAGCATTTTTCAAATGTTTCAAATAAATTCTTAATAAATTAGTAAATTCTTTGTAAATTGGTAATATCGAATAAACTATCTTGCTCTTATAACTATGGCGATGCTGAAATTCGAGTTTTATAATTTTCTCTCTTCATGCATTTGTTTAGTACGTTTAAAGTCCTTAAAGCAATCTCCTTTGTAGAAGAAAAAAAATTCATAATTTTTCAAGAAAAAAATTTAAATCATCAAAGTATTCGTCTAATGTAACCTAAATTTTTAGAAACACTAACGTTAGAAAAACGTAAAATAAAGGCTTTGCAATGGCAATGAAATCGATTAAAGTAAATCTTTTTTAAAGAAAATGTTTTCTGTATTTTAAACTTTGTCTTTGATCAGTATAAAAATGCATAATAAGCAATTGGAGATAAACTAGAGGCAAGCTAAGATATTTTTTTTAAACTCTTATGACTTTAATTTTTATTTTATTTTTAATACTAAAACGTCTCTTTAAATTTTAAAAATTCTAAAAAAATTAATAAATAAATAATAAAATTCATTTAATATTTATTATAGATTTCAGAATCATTAATTTGTGTTTTAAATTTTATCTAATATGATTTTTCAGTTATAATAACCACTTTTTAAAAAAATTGCAACAAACATCATGAAAGTCAATGGCAAATGCATTTATTTTAATGCATTTTAACATTTGAAAACAATTTACATCACTTATAATTATAACTGTACAGTTAACTATTGTCTCTGCAATGAGAGTCTGGTTAACTACAATTTACACCTAAAAACGTTTCCGCCCTGCAACTTTAGAGAATGTAACCTCGTCCAAAATTTTTAGACATTAGAATCTTATTGCCTAGACTCTAGTTAAAAGTAATCTAAATTCAGTTATGAATACACCCATAAAATTTTTAATTAAACTTTATTTGAAATATCATGTGAATATGTAAAACAAGAAAGTATTTTCAAAGGATAAAAAAAATCCTTTTATTTTTAACTTTAGTCTTCGTTTCTATTAGTATTACGAATTGAGTGGATGCAAGCGTACTGTTTATAAACACTTAATGATAATGTTTATGAAAACAAACAAAACAAACTGTATGTTTATAAACAAAGATATGAAATTTAGTGGATTTAACTGGATGACTTTAGTCACACACTAAATTTGAGTCGTAGATTTAAAATATAGGCAAATTTTATTAAGAGTTATTACTATAATTGTTTATTCTATAGTCAGTAACCTAAAATTGTAATATAAATGGAATATAATCTGGTTTTCTTAAATATTTTAACATCAAACTATTTAAAAGTACTAAAGATTATCAAGTACATTATTTATAGAATAATTCTATTCCGAAATTATTTATTTAGTAAAAGTGAGTCAATACTTTTTAGCCTAACAGCAAGAAAAAAAATTAGAAATAATTGAATTATTTTTAAGCTAGCTTGCATGCAAAACATTCCACTCTTGGTTACATAATTTTTAGATGAAGCATTAAACAAATCATTGATATTAAGTAATTTCCAAGAGCTTTTTAACACTTTCAGAAAAATCACCTTCAACGAAAGGTACTAATGGATTGGTAAGCTTCTTAAAGTAAAATACTATTTTGCTATTTATTTATCTACGAAAAGGACCAATGAAAGATAAATTTCTAAAGTAGTATTTTAATCTTATTACTACCTACGATAATGTTTAATGTCTTGCTAGTACGAATTTTTCTCAAATAATAGCAGACAAATTATCTTAGATAAAGTAGGCGGCACTATGCTTTAAAAACGAATGTCATGAGAAAAATAATAATTTTGAAATCTAATCTAGTTATAAAAATCGCTTATGCAATAAAATATCGCATAGTTTGCAAAACAAAATCCAGAGCCTTTACATGATATATGCAAGGCAAATTTTTGGTATCTGAAAAATATATAAATAATTTTAAGTCAAATTGTATTACCCAAAGAACTCTTTGTGTCGTAGTATCAACCACTGAGTAGTAGATATTAACCAGAGACAAAGATAACTCAAAGTAGGAACATTGGTAAGAAAATTCAAACTAAAATATTATATAATAAATAAAGATTAAATATTGTTTAGTTTGCAAAACTAAATCTAGACCCTTAATATGATATATGAAATGAAAACTTTTGGTATATATTAAATAGATAAATAAGTCAAGGTCAAATTGCTATTATGCTACCCAAGAAACTCCTCGTGTCATAATATCAACTACTGAGTATCAGATATTACTAACCAGTGTTAAAAATAACGCAAGATAGGAACATTGATAAGAAAACTTTACTTCGCAAAGCTCATTATGGGCATTCAAAAGTCTTGCTGAAAGGGTTAACGGTGTGTACGCCACTAGTTACCCATTTCATTTTGATTTTGTTCCTTTCTTTTTATAATAAAACCAATTTGACGTTAAATTAATTTAACAAACTAAAAATTTTGTATTGTTGTAATGAAAACTAAAGCTAATGCAGTAATTATGGTTGCAATAGTAACATTATAAAATTGTGTTATGATTTGCAATAACTTCAACAGCGTTATCAAATGTTAGAGTTGTAGTTATAACGGCATAAGATTCAGCGAGAACGGGAACTGTATAAAATAATGCGGTCGATATAGTAGCACTTTGACCTTGTATTATATATTTCTTTACGCAAAGTGTACGTCGTTATTGTAACACGAGTTCATTATAACAAACCCTATTATTTCCTCAAAATAATGAATCCAGTAACTTATTTAATTACATATTGCTAATTACCAAGTCTTAAAAATACATGTCGAGTATCATAGCTATAACCAAAATTTAAAAAAAATGCCTAAATGACCTCAACCCCAAATGTATATTCCAGAATATAGTTTTAGACTACTGAACGACCAATTTTACCTCCACTTTTCGAATTTCATATTTTGGAAAGCAACCTGTTCTATGCGAAGCAACTTCCATTCTTCAAAAAAGAAATATATGTATGTAATCACTTCTTACATCTTTAATCGTGCTTGTCTATAATAATTAACTGCTATTTTTTGTAACTCCTATCTTATTAGAATAGAGAAGTAATATTTTCGCTTTCAAAATTCTATTTTAGAGAGGTTTTGAAAGTTATTGCTAAGCAATAAAAATCGTAAGATAAGCCCACTATGTCTTTAATACCCTCAAATTAAATGAAACCCAATTCCTCAAATTACGATACATATAGAGTTAGTATTTTCTAGCTTTTAAATAGAAAAATCTCACCCATTGTATCTTTCATAGTGTAATGTAATTGTATTTAAAATAGGAGAAACTAAGAAATTCTCTAAAACCAAAGTATTTCAAAGGAATGTATCATATATACATGTATTTATGTGATAATAAATAATTATCTTATCCTCAGTCGCAAATCCTTAAAAACCTTGCTTATTACTCGAAGCAAATAAAAATTATGGTTTCTTGATTAATATTTCAAAATAATCTACAGTGGGTTACTCAGAACTATTATTCAAAATTTTACATGTTACACAGAAACGTGGTATCAAACAAGAGTCATATACAGTGGAGTTCAAAAACTCCTGGCCTGTATATTGTTACTTTAGCTTTATAACAAAAAATAAATTGAAGCCTTATGTTTCCTATACAGCACAGTTTTTGTATGCGTCTTTTAAAATATTTATGCATCTAGTAAAAGTTATACGAATAAACAGCCGTAAAGAATTAGCTATATAACACTTATATTTACGTCACATTAGAGCTGCGTAGTATGGCGACGGTTTGGGAGACGGTTTGGGTATGGCGACGGTTTGGGAGACGGTTTGGGTATGGCGGCGGTTTGGGATCATCCCTGAGGATGATCCGGAGACAACATTCATATATCCCATCCCGTTTTACTGGAAGGGCACATTCACATCCATCCGCAGATAAGTTTTGACCTGAATCAGAGCACGATTAATCTCCGAACCAGTACAGTTAGAGGTATTGATTTTTTATGGGAACTTGAAGGACTTTGTGACCCCCGACAGATTTAACGTGCACCTGTCATCATTTTGTGACGCCCGGTGGCTGAGTGGTAGCGTTTCGCGCTGTCGTGCCACAGATTCCTGGTTCGATCCTCGGGCCGGGCAAGGCTGACTCAGCCTTTCATCCCTTCAGTGGGTCGATAAATGAGTATCAAGCACACTTGGGAGCTAAACACTGGGGGTTCCGCGTTCGGCTGACCACCTGACCGGAACATCTGCTCCTGCACCTCAGAACCCAAGGTCAAGAAAACTGAGATGGGCACAGTAGGCCTTGGCCCGCAAGGACTGTCGCGCCGCTGAGTTTAGTTTAGTTTGTCATCATTTTGTACACGGGGATACTTCAGCCGGCGGGGATCAAACTCACGACCTCTCAGACATGGGCCCAACGCTCTACCAGCCAGGCTCTCCGGGCCCTAGTTAGTTATACAAAATGTACTGGCCGGAGATTTTAGGCCATATGTATATACCGAGAATCAAACGCAACCTGGATTCATAAGCTAATGCTAGATATCGAAAAGATAAAGCAACGAAAACCGTATTTTTGGAGTACGAACACAAGGAAGGATACATCGCTATTTGATTCACTTTAAATCTTCTTTTAAATAAAAACGTCATGTAAACTCGCCTGTTTATAAAAATGTATCGCTATTTGTTACATTTGTCGCATTTTGCAGTTTCTGTCCTTGCAGGCATATAGTGCGTCTATATTCCGCTGCGGCTATATGTGCTAATATGATTCTTTGATGTGATGTTTTTGATATACATGTAGATTTTTGAATAGTTCT